AACAAAACAATATTAAACTGACGTTTGGTCATACTTTATGTTAATCTTCATTTTACCGAAACCAATACCATATAATACTGGAGTAGAGCATAATTATCTCATGACGCTCCGAATTTTGAAGCAATAAATATAAGTTGTATTATTTCATGCTGCATTGCGCTGCTTTCAATATTAGTGAGGAAAATTTAGAAAGAAAATTGATCAGCTATATAGGGCTCACACTCATAACATATGACCACTCTTTTTCTGAACTTTTGAGTTTTTATCATATGTAGAGGTCTGAGAAAAGCTGAAAATTCCCTAATAACTTTTCTAATTTTTCTGTACAAAGAAATGTAGATGAGTAGACGATTTCGACCATCAAATTACAGACTCCCAAAGTGGAAAACGCAGATTCGCTTGATAACGGCGTATCCTCATCAGGTTCCGCTGAAGACGTCCGTAACAAGCGTAAGGATCTCTAATCCCTGAATTGTAACCTTCCATCTGTTTTTATACTCGTTTATAGCTACCAATGGCCGAACGCTATCAAATTTTGTTCTATCCATGCGACCGCAAACTTCTAGACCTGGAGAGTCTGTGCAGCCTAGGTGGGACCTCAGGCTACTATCATTTTTTTCATCAAAATTACTTGCATTTAGGTATTTGAAAGCAATCCCAGCCTGTACAGTACTCGACGACGAACAAGTGAAGGACACTGTTTTCGATGCAGCGCCAGCAACGTTAACGTCTGAGGTTGTTGAGGTGGGACAACGTGCATTAAAGTCCTTTACGATAGTAATAAGAATAATTGACTAGAATTCTGTAGTTCTGCTCACAGTAATCCCTGAAAATGAAAGAAACACAAATGACACACTTCCCTCTACAGTATGTCCACGATCAAGTCCAAGAAGACAACTCTCTGCTTAATGAAGATCAACATCAGAAAGTGGCAGAGCTGTTGAAACAGGTCAACCTTAAGAAGTTCGAGATCGAGTTTTCTATACACAGGTAGGTAAAGTCAAACCGTCACAAGTAGACATCTTGCTAGTGTTTTTCTACCTCATATTTTCTGTCCTTACGGGTTATTGTAATGAGAATTATAGAACCAAGTTATAAAGACTAAAATTCGCTGATAAAAGTATTCTCGAGTGCAACTGATGACTACATAGTGTACTCAATATGTAGTGTACAAATGCAAATCAAGTTTCCACAACTTTACAATAGTGCAATTAGTGTCAAAGCTATACCAATCCACATTCGGGACTGATTAAATAAGTTGTTAGCAGCAGAAAACTATAGTAGATGGTTATTGCTGATTCCCTTTTATTTGCGAAAAATGCATCATAGTTCAAATATAAGTTGCTATTATATTCAAATCATTGCGATCATTCTTACAAGAGTGTTGTGATAGTTTGATTATCTGCACAGCCCTTCTGAGAATTTATCCCTTGCAAGCTGAGTGTTGGATTCTGTTCAGCATCAGCGTAACTTATTTTTAAATATCATTTTTGAGAGCTAAAAGCTATGGACTCAAAAACATGCAGTGTATTAGCAATTTTCGCGTACGCAACAGTATGGTTCAGTGTTGGCAGGCTGGACATGACGGTGCTGCCGCTAGAGCGAGCGTCCTTGGTGCTGGAAGCTGTTCCTTCAGCTGCAGACATCGAACGAATCCGAAAGTTCACTGCTGCTCATCCGAACAATCAGTGGACAGAGGCTGAACAATTCATAATTGATGTAAGACCTTCTTAATCCAATACGTACTTCGTAAATTGCTAATGGAGAGTTCTCCCGATGCACACGGAAAAAAAA